AATAGGAGTAATTTTATCCTTGACCATTTCAGAAAGAAAAGGTTTAATGCTCATCAGTTCATCGCAAAGAAGAATACCATTAATGTCCGATTTTAGATTTACGATAAGTTTACTTTGAAGAGCTAAACATGATTTTAGAATTTCTTCTCTTTTTTGCAAACTATCGACATTATACAAAAAACCCCAAACTTCTGAATAATTCTCCAACTGTATAAATCTTTCTCTCATTGAAATTAAAGATGTGTCTAAAAGAGGATTGAAGAAATCGATTTCTAATTTTTTTTCAGGAGAAAATAAATAAATCCCATGTTGGGCTGGTTCGTCAAAATGGCGTTTCACTCGTATTATTCTTTTAAGTGGTTTAAAAACAGGCTCCACTTGTAATTCTATAGCCAAATCCTTTGCTTTTATGATTGCATCTTTAAAACCACATTTTCTATAGTTTTCTAAAAATGAGCAACAGCTTTTCAATAACTTTGCACATTGAGTGATGTCCATGTCTTTTTTATGAAGAGTTATACTAACAATATTGACTTGAAAAAGAATGTCATACCAGACAATTAAAGAGACAAGAAAGCTAAAATCTTTTAATTGCTCTCCTAGAGTTATCGCTTCATGTGCAGTTTCAGGATTACATCCTTCAATTTCTGACAATGCTATCAAAGCGTCATGTTCATCACCAACTTGATAACGAACGGCTTTAACAATACTTATTTTTGCTTCCCACCGCGTGTCACAGAGTTTCTTTAAATGCAAAATTTTAACATGATCAATTAAAATTTTCCATCGGCTCACTGAGGCTGAGAATAGAGTAAACAATCTCTGAAGAAAACCGAAAAAAGCTATAGATTTTACTGAAGACCGTGCAGAGTCACTTATTACCAAATTTAAGCTATGGTTGCCGCAAGGAACATACAATGCTAAAGGATTAAGATTTAAAATCCTTTTTTGTACACCATTAATCTTTCCTTTCATATTTGATCCATTATCATACCCTTGACCTCTGCAGTTAGAGATTTCAAGTCCATACTTAGTTAGCAACTCGATTAAAACCTCAGTAAGTCCTAAGCCTGTAGAATCAGACACAGAAAAAAATCCTAAAAAGTACTCTTTAATTTCCACTCTAATGTCTAATGACAAGCAACAATTCGAATATTAAGAGAAAGATGTTCTTTTCTAGAAATATCAGGTGTACAATCAGCAATGATTGAATAGTAAACGGCTTTCAAGACTCGGTTTATTATTTCATCATTAACCTTTTGAGACATTAAATCTATTAACTCATTTTGAATATTTTTCCCGCAATAATGGTTTGAAGTGTCACCTTTTATTGCAAGTGCTAAATGTTTTTGCATCACAGGATCAAATTTTGCAAGCATCTGTATTAGTCCTAAGAATTTGCCGTTTTGAGGCGTAAACAGTTTATCCGAACTCCCTCGAAAAGCCATATTATTTTCAGCTAGGTAAAGAGTGATATTCATCAGCCGAAGAAGAACATTTTGCCATCGCAAACTGTCTTTTTCTATAATTTTAATTTCTTCATTATCTATAGTTTTTCCAGTTTTTAATCTTATTTCAGTTTCTACCCACTGTTGATAACATTTCATATGAGAGACGCTGTTTTCATGAATTCCCAATATTTCAGTTAAATGTCTCCATTTCTTGAAACCATCAAAGACTAAGTTTGACTTTGAATTATTATCAAAAAGTAGACAGCAAAAATAAAATACGGAGTTTTTAGAATCTGAATAAACCAACCATCTACAGCAAAAGGTTTCTCCATTCGCAAGCTTTCTATTGTAATAAATGCTAGAAAAATGTCGACCATTTCTATCTTCAGGGTATTTTTCCTTTGTAATTTGAAACGGACCAAGTTTGATTAAATGGTTTACAAAGTTGCTAGATCGAACAATTGGCCAATTTCCACAATTCAATAAATTAGGTGTTTCTTGTAAAAAATTTTCCGATAATTCATTCGATTCTTTTAAAATAACTGGTTCATTATCTACTTCAATTTGCAATGAAGCTATACAACTATTTTTGAGTATTGTTGAAGGTTCTCCAATTTTATTGGACATAGTCGTAGAGATAGTTGAAGCATCAGGGTTAAAATCTTCACGACCTTTGTCAGGTTTTTTATAAGCAACATATTTTTCAATGCTCATGAATTTTTTAATTTTTTCAAATTTTTGATCTTTAACGGACTTTCTTTTTCTGTACTCATAACCAGACAACTTTTTTCTCGAATTTGAAATTTTATGTGACATGAGACAGAATATTTTTTAAGATAAAATTATTTCTACAGTTTAAAAAAAAAAAAAATTTAACAAAGTTCTCAAAACACATTCATAAAATTATTAAAGAAATAAAAAAAAAATTAACTAAACTTACTGAAAATTGTTTAAATCGAGTCAACTTAACATTTAATAACAAAAAATAAAAACTTTTGAACTTCTTTATAAAAAATTTTTTGCAACTTTTCGAAATGACTCCTAGGGGA